TTTGTTTTTTTTTAAAGGACATATTTGGAGCATGTAGCAGACACCATCAGAGACTGGATTGAGAAAGAGGAGCTAAAGAAGCAGGAGTTGGAGAACACCCAAATAAGTCCAGCGCAAGAGTCAGAAAGTACAGCTGAGCTTCACACGCGGCTACCGTGTTGTTTGTGACGGAATAAAATGATCTTTCTGTTTTCTTGAACAAAAAAAAAAAACATGACAGATTGCACAGAGGAAGATGAGGAGTCACAAGTGGCTTATATCACAAAAAACTCACTCAAAGTTTGTAGCAACTCACACACGCGCACAAAAACCCTCAAGAGCACGCACGTCAAATATATCGAGTTGTCGTTCCAATGGACAGGCTGCCAGGCTGGAGGAGGAAAGGCTGAAGGAAGAGGAATCCAAAAAAGGCAAGAAGCCGGCCAAGGCGGCGGGGGGAAAAAAGCAGAAGCCGGCGAAGGACGCGAAGTCCGCCGATGCCAAGAAAAGCGACAAATCCGCCAACACGGGCAAGAGCAAAACGACCACCAACAGCTCCACGGTCGCCGCCTCCGACCAGTCGCTTTCCATTAAAACGGAAGACAAAGAGGAGGCCGGCAGTGTAAGAACAACGTGACGAATGTAAAATACACGACTCACAAAATGTTTGGGATGTTCAGCTCTTGATGCCTCACTTTTAGGGGTTCACGGGCTTCCACATGGATGGAATGTTGGTCCATCTGTCAGGGTCTCTCCAGTACCTCTTCCCTGCGGCTGGGGGAGACGTTACCGTGGAGACCGTCAGCTACGTTGAAGGTAAAGTCAATTGCGCAAGCTTTCTTTGATTGGTGACAATTTTATTTTTATTTTTATTTTTTGCTTGGACTGAAAAAGATTTAAAAGGCATGTATTTAAAACAACTGCTTTGAGAAAAGTCTCGTTAGCTTCTTGCAAACGCTTATTATATGTTGTGGCGCTTTATCCCTACGAGCAAGTTATTGAACACAAAATGATTCACCAACATGTCGACAGCACTCAAGTCATATTTTCTTTCTGAGCCATGTTCCACGACTAGTATTAATGCTGTACTGAGGAGATCAGAAAGGAGTTGATTAGCTGGTGCAAAAAGGCAAGGAGTGCCGAGAATGTCGGGAGGATTGGGTGAACACTATAGCCTGTCTGTCCGTCTTATACTGCCCCCAGGTGGCCAAGGCAGGCACACCTGAAGGAGCAGCATTTGATTGATGTATCTCAAGGCACCACTGTACTTCCGCAAAACACATGTCCCCGTAGGTTCCAGAATGCTGAAAGTGGCCGTGAAGCAAGACGGCCACCACTTCTACACGCACATCAGCCACGTTGTCCATGCAGCGAGAAATGACGTGAAAGGTAAAGATCCGCGAGAGCTTTGCCGACTCGTTCCCGGTGTGTCCTACTGACGAGTCCACTCCAAAAGAGCATCCTGTCAAGACGACCGTAGAGACCAGGCGGGGCTTCTCGGCCTTGCTGGATAACGGCGTCCGGCTGTCTTACAGCTTCGAAAGACCACCAGAGAAAAGCAAAGGTGCTGAAAATGCTTGACTGCTGTTAGCTTGTTTGTAGTGTGAAAGGTGGCTGTGATTGTGCATGACTGTAAATACGTTTAGCATTGTCCAGAATGTTTTGGCTTCGAATAAGAGTATTCCACTACTTTGTATTACATTACACGTTGCTCTGATGCCAACTCTGACAACTGGTAGAGCAGCTTATAACAAAATAATGCTCACAGGCATATATTCTTTATCCTTGTGTGACTCTGTGTGTGTTATACTGCCCCAAGGTGGCCAAGGGACGCACTACCAGAAGGAGGGCAACAATGTCCATTGCATTGAAGTAAAAAAAAAAAAAACAGTCCAATTCTTTACATTACCTTTAATGATGTTGTAACTGTCATTTTTAAGTGTTGAGTGCTGAAAAACACAGTACAAACATTGATTTCAATGCGGGGGGAAAAAAAAATCACAATACCATGGTTTTGAGTCACAACTCCAATCTCAAGGCACCACTGTATCTGGTATTTTTATCACCATGTTTGAATATCATTTGTCACTAATTTCCTCTACATTCCCCCTTGAAAGCTTCCAAGGCGGAATATTGACAAAATATTAAAAAATTCCCACTTCTTGGCAGCCCCACAAGAGAGTCTCAAGGAAACAGAGAAAGGGCAGCAAGAGACGACGGTAGCGGATCTGACCGACATCCCAAACAACGACGGCACCCCTGCAGAGGTGCAGGTGCAGGTGTGGTTTTTTAATATATATATATATATATATATATATATATATATATATATATATATATTCACTGCGAATGTGTTATTTTGTGTTTCTTGTGTGTAGCCGTGTGAAATCCAGCCAGAAGTGTGCCCGAGTCCATTCAACAGCCTTAGCTTGTCTATCCCGAGTGGCCTACTTGTGCAGTTTATCCGTGAAGATGGTTAGTGACGTCCCCCCAGAACAACTCTCACACTTGTTTGCCAGATGCAACACCAAAATGTGCGTGTGTGTGTTTGTCTCATATATGTCCTCAGAGGACCTGAGTATGCTGGTGCGACTGAGTTTTCACGCCGCGGGCTGCCAGGGGCCTTGTCTGGCCAAAGAGGCGTCTCGCACCATCACCAGTCAGGGAACCGTGATCCGATACATGAAGGACTCCTCCAGCGAGGTGAACATGCCGGAATACGAGCACTTCTTGGAGTTTTTTTTTTTTTTTTTAATTTTAGTTTCAGTTATTTTGGTCGTTTTGGTTAATGATAACATCCTTGGTCACAGGTGCTCTTTGCAGATGGCACGGTCAGTTCCAGCTTGGATTCTGGTCCAGTGTGGGTACAAGAAATAGAAGAAGTAGAGGCTCCAGATGGCAAGGGACCCACACTGAACTGAAGACACACGAACGCACGCATTTACTTTTATATATATATATATATATATATATATATATATATATTTTTTTTTTAATGTGTATATG